TTTGAACTGCACCAGTGCAACAATAACGGGTCGAGTTGAATTCTCATCATAACAACAAATATTTGTATTATGCAGAGGGATGACATCAATCGGATATGAAAAGTGGAATATGATCAGTTGAGTGTAAGCAATCAATGAGGCAACAAGAAACAATAAGTCAACAGTTGAACAATGCGAAAAATCTTCACCTAGCTATCAACATCTCTGTTCATTACATCGCCATACAAAACAACCACTAATCATCAATATTATGTCATCAATAAAATGCACTTCGAATCAATCGAGAATCATATTATAACAGCAATGGTGATTTCATTGAATCACAATCAAAAAACAAATGGCACCACTGAAATTACGTGAGGAATGTTTCACTTAAGGCATCTGATTGCAATGGAGTGCACAGATCGGTGAGTGAGAAATCGAATAGAAACTTTGGATAAAATCGTCGAAAGAGATTCACTTTGTATAAAATCATCGAAAGAGGCAAGACAACAATTAATAAATGGAACGATAAACGCAATGTTAAGGGACAATTAAAACGAACATTTACAAGTGCACACAGTAGAAAAAAGAAATGATAATAAAACGCAATATGGCCTTTTTATGCCCAAAATTTATGCTTTAGTTTGGGTGCAAGATGACTGGAGATATTGGTGAAGAAATCGGGAGCGCCATCGTTATGGAACTGATTATGACTGCCACTATCGCCACTTGCAATTGAGACGTCATCATCACCGTTGTTGCTGCAATTCATTTTGTTTTTTTTATGGCGTGATTATTGCTTTGCAATACTCATAATAAGATGAGTGCATAAGCGATAATGAATACGCATTCGCAAAACAAACAAAAACAAATCAGCAATCACACAATCCCAACAACTCACCAAACAATTTTCCAGTTGTTCCTTCCACGCTTCGCCAAATTCGATGCGGCATAGAGATGTGCAGGTACGGATATAGGTGACGTGACAATACCATGCATATAGCAAAGACAATTCGTTATGCCTTCCACCTCGTCCAGTCCCATACGCGGCTCATCATCCACCAGCACCGTACAACGGATTGGACGTGCTGTTCCCTGTATACACACATAATAATCAGTCAGTCATAATAAACAACGACAACAACAATGAAACTAACCATGATAGATTTATGAGCGACCAGTATGAATTCAGCTTGTGTGGGATGCACAATGGACGAATCAACACAAGTGCCTGACGGTACATTTTGCTGCAGAGCGTTGCCATCGACTTGCAATGAAGTGGGATTATCGAGCAGCAGTCGATAGTTCGAATTCGTTTGAACACAAATCAGTGACAGTCTGATCTTGTTGGGAGGTGTTGAGGACGGAAGTGCTTCGAACGCAGCACGGAAAGCATTCGCTTCCAAAGTCATCACCTAAATTGTCAATTGGTCACAACCGTTAATCAGTAGCAATCAACGACCCACGATCCAAATCACTACTAGTCGAGTAAAAGCATAATATGATGTTTTTTTTTTCAGATCATGAGGCCAGCATAGAATAAGATGAAGAAGCAATAAACGAAACGAATTGAATCAACGAATAAGGACCTTTTGAAATTGACCATCAGAAATACCACCTCTGAATACAATAACATGTTCTGGATAAGATTTATTTGCTGACTCTTCCTTGAACTGATTCAGTGCCTCCACCAAATGTTCTTTTAATGACTGAATTGTATAGACTCTCGGCTCTTGCATCCAGTACAATCCACGCATTCCGAATTCACTTCCACACGTATACGCCATCTTTATTTGTCAACATTATTAAAAACACTTTCGAAAAGAGTAAAATAAACGAATGAATGAATGGAACGGAACCAACCCCGACAACAGTAGGTTCAGAGGCGTGGAAACCGGCTTGACGTTCGTAAAAAGACAGCGGAGATGAATGCGACATATCAAGTCCAATGAACATTCGAGTTGGACGCAGCCATATTCTTTTACTGCAAAAAACTGGGGTAATCAGCGACAACACTACGTTCGGCCAAGAGCACATTGAATCAATAAATGCAAGGGCAAATCCAATACACCTTATTTCATTCGCTAATTAATTCTTGTAACTACATATTATTAAATGAATGANCGTCAATACTGCCAATCATAAAATAATGAACAACGAACCATATGTCTTCGTTCAAATGATTGCATCGCATAAAAGGTGTCGAAGCGGCAATCGCATGTGAGATGCCACCTAGTTTCAGATTCATCTTCATAATGAGATTATCAAGCGTCATTTCAGCACCTCGATTTCCGATCGATCGCTGAATCGTACCCGAAAAGATGTGCTGTGTTACCACCGACGCTTGCACCTCAGTCAATTTCATTTTATCTTCAAATAAACATCATCCTCATTAAACGACATCAACATCAGTTGATACATCTATTCAAAGTGCACAAGACAAACCATGCACTGGATCGCGTTTATCTTTTGTGATGAACATCACATACTCCACACAGTTCTTGCGCATCATCTTCATCTTATCCATTAAATAATCCATATCAACACGATCGATTGTTTCTATTCGAGATGGTCGTTGTAGCTTTATGCCATGACTTTGAGCACGTTCTATGTATGAGTACAGGAAGCGACTTCAATTTGCTTGTTGATTAGTATACGTCCATGATTGTATTTTAAAATTTTTTTAAAAGCAAATGATTGAAAAATGAACCACAAACTTACTCGAAAAGTTCCTTGCTGACAGCATCTTCGAAGATGAACACCACCCAACGTCTGGGTGGGTTTGCCGGAGAGTAGAACAAATGTTGCTGTAGAGCTCGACCCCTATTCAATCGCCATTCCAGGTGTCCATTCGAATTCGGTTCCACTCTATCGTTATTGCCATAGATTATGGCCGGTGGATAAAGCATCTTTGCATTNATACGTCAACAATTGAATATAAAAATATACCCCTAATCGACGGAAATATGGATTTTGATTAGTGATGGATGCAGCACGACGCTGCTTTTCGTTCTCTTCTTTCAAACGGTTCGGCAATAAACGGCATCCTGCGATCAATTCTTCGACCTGAATTTAATCACTTGTGAACGTTAATTAATCTTCGAATGGTAAATCAAAGATATACTGAAATGAACACGAACTAAATCGGGAGTTTGCTTCTTATTCTCGACACGTTGTCCTTTGCATACGTCCAGGCATTCCATTGGATAATAATTATTTACAACCTGCGACTTGGCTTGGAAACGTCGTTCAACAATACAAGGCAAATTGGTGTACTGCAGTCCAATTTGATATTTGTGATTATAATATTCTTCTATTGATATCTCTTCATCGTCGATCACTATTATTACTCTTTAAATAGTTACTATTATTATCACGCCATATTATATCAGAATGAACTGATGAATCAGTTGAGATCTTACTTAGATGCACTCTCTTTTGTCATACCGAATATGCTGAAGATTCGCTGTGATTTTGGAAGATGATTCGTGCGCACAACAAGACCTGCAATGAACAAAATACAACCAGATAGTCTCTTCATGAAAACGATATAAAACGAAAACCTTTCAACTGCTTCGCAACTCTTCTGCGTGTATTTGCGTCGTTGAGCAGTGTGTCAAATCGATTATTACAAAGGCTCGCAATCAACGCCACCAGGTTTTGCTCCTTGAAGAATGCCGACTTCTTTGCTGCAATCAGCCGACTTCAGTTAATGAAACAATGCTAACTCCATTTAACACATCCAAACAACGACAGCAACAATACCGTCCAACTGCGCAACGATGACCGCATTCTCGACACTATCACCAACCACTCTGATATTCTTCGCAAATCCAGACTGCAACAATTTACCACCCTTCAGCTGCTTGTCATGCGGCATCGCACGGTGATATGCCTTATTGCCGAACAACAGATGATCCTGACTGCAATAAATCATCTCACATATCGTTTATACTAAATGCCAATTTGTATCATACGCAAAGAAACGTACTCGTGATACAGTTTCTGGTTGATAGCCACTTCGAGAAATTGTTGAAGTGATCGTTGACGTTCATCTATGCATTCACTGATGGACTCATCGAAATCTCGCAGATAAACCTCTTCACAAGCCAATAATTTGGCTACTATTCCAACCACCTTCACTCCCAAGAAGTCACGACTGTTTGACGATAATTGATCCTTAATTATCAACCATCAAACAACACATCAACAAATCCATCAATAAACTTGTCTCCAGTAAAACAAAAACAAACGAACCATCTTCAGACGAAACTCCTTCTCACCATCTTCGCGGTCCAATATCTTATTGATCGAATATAGAGTGACACCACAATCGTAAAAATACATTTTTGTGTCAGACCCGAAGAAATCTTTATAATTCTTCAACACCGTTGTATAAACTGACCACAGAACACGACGACGTAAAGTTATTGAGACACTGTAATACTGCTGGTAATATTGAGGTATTTGTAAACGTATGACATAAGTATCAACAAACAAGAACTAACTCATTTCTTGGACCGCGAGTGAGGTCTCTGAGTTGATTGTCTTGTTTGACGGCCATCAACTTCAATTCGTGCTTATAAACCTTCTCGGGAACATTCGACAGATCAATCTCATATCCGTTCATCACCACGGCTATCGAGTCTGCCGCTTTCAAACGCATTCCACTGATCTTTTTACCTGAGACACAATAAAAATTGTCGTCACATTACAGTTAAAAGTTGTCATTGCACAGACATATTATTATGCTTGAAGTCGAATACTAAACATAACACAAAGTGGCGTAAATAATGCTATCACTTGATATACATATGAAACGGCATTTTTTTTCAAGGTTGAATTGTAAGCTGCGAGACAAATAAAGCCTCAAATAGAAGTTATGCACACATACTTGGCATAACCAATCTCTCTTCCGCTGATTCATCAGTTAACATCTGCTCCATCTTCGAACAATTGATCTCCATCTCTCTTCAGAGGTTATACTTACCCTGAACGATACAAGTAAGAATTCACAATTAAGTTTGCAATGAACCGAATTTCATACAATAGAAAGCGTTAAAACAAGCAACATTATAACAGAAATGATCTCTCTGATAATTCGGCTCGAAATAAAATTGCAACCAACCGCTGAGGAACACCACAGGCACAAATGTGAATTCAGTCAATCACCAATACTCTCCAACTCCTTCAAATTTTCTTATATTCATAAAGAAATGAATAAATAAATTTACATGAAACGAACATGGGGAATTGACAAATTTTAACAAGAGAAGTTTCGAAAAAAACCTCCACCATATGTAAAATATATCTACTTAAAAATGCAGGTGATATCTACAAAATGCAGATTACAAAATGCAAAAAAACTACAAAATGCAGATTACAGAAATAGCGCATATTCAACAACATATAATGAATAACAAACAAAAAACACACAGCACGCGAGAAATACCGTTAACTTCAATAATAATAAACAAGAAACAATGATTTACCCGCACTTCCGTTGCTGGCAACCTTCTAAAAAATAAATTCTTGGACATCCTCGGAAAAATTCATAGAAAATTCTCGGAAAAATCACTAATCTCAAACGGTGAGCGAGCTCACGTGCTCAAAGATCAGAAACTGAGAGCTCGCCAATTACGAATGGAGTGACAATTCGCCAAATGACCGAACTCGCATGTCCATCTGATGTGTGTTCGGTGTAATGTGCATTTCTTACCTATTCAATGTGATTATATATCGCTTTGTAGCGCACATCCAAAAGAATAAAACATAATGTATGGAGTGGACAGCAATAAGAACGCGTTCGAGATTTTCTATTTGGATTGAA